AAAGCAGCTTATATGCACTGGTACTTGTTTTTTTTTAAAAAAGGTACAGGGCATTCACTCAACTGACTTTAGGACAAATGTATTTGTATTACTACACCTTTAATGAAGACTTTAGAGTAAGCCCCCATGAAGCAGAAGAAAAACAGAACTTATGCTGAGAGTAACACAATGATTCCCTGGCAGAGGCTCACAGGGCCATGACAGATGTGTGTAGCCTCTCCAATAAGCAAAATTACCGCCTTCTGAATGCGAGAACAGTGATGTACGACAAACAAGGAGCTTAGCCTGCCAGAAACTTTGTGTTTGGCAACAGTCAATTGTTCCAAAAACGTTAGAAGCCACTGAATGAGAGTATAGTACAAGAGACAATATGGAACAAAAACCAGAGACTGGGAGAGCACAAGGAACAACAACAACAAAAAAAATAATTCACAAAAAAAAACCCCCACACCCAACCACAGCCCCCCTGACCAGCATCCTAACAATAGTATAGTGAGGGTGCTAAGCCCTGCCAGATTATCAGATCATCCTTTCGGGTGGGTTTTGGGACCACAAGCAGCCTTGTGCTACCATCACTGTAAGCCCAATGGCTAAGCAGTGAGAGAGAGTGTCATCAGAAGGGTTTATGAAATACAAGAGCTCAGCAGGGCCGGGCACAGTGTCACTGCCCCCAGTTTAAAGGCAGATCCAGGGAGTGTTTGTGCAGTTCACTCACGGACAGGCAGTGTACCTGCAGCACAGCCAGGTAACAAACCCTGACTCTGGGCACAGCAGGCTGTGCCTTGCTCACAGCCACATCCCACTGGTGTTCAGTGCTAGCAGAAGGAAAACAGCATACACAAAACAGTGGGAGAAATCTCTCATCTTCATGATATACAAAGCCTGAAGGAATGCGCATTACAGAAAGATTTAGTTTGCTGGCATGAAATCAAATGAATAAACCCAAGATTATTCACAAAGATCAAGACAACCTTCAAAGAAGCCAGAAATCCAGGGGGAAGCAAAGTATTTCCAAGTAGTTCCACTTTTCTCACACAAGCTAGGGAATCTCAGAGAGAGGGTCATAAATAATGGACTTTATTTTCATTCTTTGCATATACTCTTGCTGGTGCAATGCCCAGTGTTATCTGGAGATGGAAGTTGATAGTGAGCCATTTTTGGATATTCAAACATACCTTAGAAGGGACTTTTTCTTGGAATATGAGTGTTCGGTTTCTGAAATACAAACCATTGTAATTAACTGATTGCTTTACAAAGTCTACAAGTATAAGAGCACTTTAAGAAAAATTGTACTTCTGATAATAAAAACCTCTGTAAACTAACAAAAAAGGCATTTCAAGATGCAGTGACTGAAGGCAGCCTATTCAAATTAACGTACCTAGTTAAACATCAAGTAACTAATCATTGACAGAACTCTCCTAGAGCAGAAGGAGTCACCATTACTTAATGTCTTCAAAGCAAGACCAGAGGATTCTTCTTAAATACATATATATGATCGCACTTAAGTCACAGTTAATGGTTAGATACTGAAATGAGAATTAATGAAAGCAGCCATTTCTCAGACATGCTTATTGTGAGCAGTTCTGGTCACAGCAAAATTCAAAGACGATTTACTGAATTGAGGACAGGTTCACAAGAGTGCTGATAAGAACAAGAGCCCTATCTCAGGAAAGTCTGGCTCATTTAAGCTGGCAAAACACAGCACAAAATAGAGGACAGAATCACTGCGAGGAGCTGCAAGAAATGAGAACAGGCATTTAAAGCATAGGATTTGCTTGGTAGAGAAAGGAGATATACCAACCACAAACGCTTCCCAGCTGGAGGTCAGAGAAATCTGAATGTGAAGTAGCTGGGATCTGGAGCAGCCTCCCAGTGGAAGAAGTGGAAGAGGAGAAGAAAGCAGATAAAGAGAGAACCTGGGAGTCCACAGAAATGGCTCCTGCCCCATGCTGATGCATCAGCAGCAGGGAGTCTTCCCAGGACTAAGGTTTGGAATGTCAGGTTGTTCTTTCCAGCTCTGAGCTCATACGTGGAGTTCAATAACTCGGTAACCAGTTATTATTGGAAGAGAAATATTTATGTGTTTCATGGGGTTTTTTCTGTGTATTTCTAAACCAGAAAAGTTTTTACTTTCTTTAGATGCAAATATTGCCATTGTTTTTCATCACTTCTCCAACAGTCCATGAGAAAACACAGCAGGAGGAACACATGGCAAGAAGAGGTAATTTAGGATCTAATCTTGAGTAACCTATGCAGTCAGACAGGACAGCATGAGCAGCTCTACACTCCACCACCAGAGGTGGACTTCACAGATGTTTCCTTTTCAAGATCCTTCAAGTCTTATCAACAGGCGAGGGGAAAACTAACAGGTACTGAAGAACCAACATCAAAGCACAAGAGATTCAAAAAGCAGCAGTGCTCTGCAGTGGCCAGGCAGCACTGGCTCCTGGGTTATCAGTCAATCTCAAAGTATGTATCCTTCTTTGTACAGACTAGATCCACAGGCCCTGGATTCAGCCACCCTTTCTGCAGCACACCTAACTCAGTAATCATGTGAAAGTTAAAGCCAAAGTCACATCAGCCTAGTAAGGAAGGTGTTTGAGTTGCTCTCACTCGCTCTACTTCAGAACCAGCTGACCATAAAACCATCAAAACATAGATACTGGGACTCAGGAGAGACAGGTTACCCTCCTGACAGTTCACCCTAAGCAAAAGTCATAAGCTTTCCATAACCACTTCATTGTCTCAGAGGCCCTCACTGTCCCACTCTGTACACAAAGCTTCCCCTTTTCGGAAAGTCTAAAGAGACTCAAAGCTGTAGTGTGAAAACAGAATCGTGTGTTAGTGATCTTTAAAGTGACTTAAAGCAGTTTCAATTCCACCCTTCCTTCCTTCCAACTCCACCCTCCCCTTCAAGAGGGAAATTTGTTTGGGTTAATATGGAGGGGAAAAAAAGCAAGCTAAAAATAGCCTCCTTTTGCCTTAAAAAAGTTAAAGCTATGAATAAACAGCCTGAAACAGGAATGCAGCTAATCTGCCCACCAAATTCCTACAGTGTTTTCTTGTCCAGCTTTTCAAAACATTTTCATAAGGATCAAACACACAGACTTACATCTGCAGAGTCAGTGGTATCCCAGAACAGCCTGCTTTCATGCACGTAAGGTAAATGGTTTTGGCATGGCAAGGGATAGTTTATGAGACTGGATGAACCAAGGATACAGTCTATGACTGCTAAGTACTAGAAATATATGAGCAATCTTCTTGCATCAGGAGAATTAATATAAAAAAAAGAAGAAAAATGCACCAAGAGAACACAAAAACATCTCTCGTTTCCCTTTACTGTACAACGGACAAACTGCATTAGCTCCTAAAAATCTACCTTTCCAGCAAAAAGCATTCCCACTGTTATCTCTGTCTTAGACCCAAGCCACATCTGTCCCTGACAGCAATAGCTGTCAACACTGAAAGAGCAGGGTGATCAGCAATCCTTTTCACCCTGGGCTGGGAGCCAAAGCAAGGTCTGCTTATGTATTTGCAGTGCAAAGCCCAAAAAGCTCTTTATTCTGTTCCCTATGCTATGCCATTAGCAAGCAAGAAGATCAACCCCGGGGGCTATCCTTGCAATTTGAATATTTGAACTCAGACTTGATTCTACCCTATGCCTCTTCCACTGTATCACCAGTGAGCTTCAGGTAACGCCATAAGAGTCACATGTACCATCCCATCAGTGCACACAGAAGCCTCTTGGCAGAGTCGCCTTTCATTCCCAGTTTCCCACAGCATGAGGCATCAGAACATGCTGCTGCTGTGCAGTGCTATAGACACTGCTATGATACCTGATATGAGTTACATTTTTAAAAAGAAAACCATCTCCCTCCTCTTACAGAAGATGAGTCCTCTGAAAGGAGAAAGGGAATGTCTCACTTTCATCTCAGAGTTCAGAGGGAATGTTTTATAGCTGTCAATCCTATCAAGGTCTTTTTCATTGACACACCAGGGACAGCAACTGTTTTGAGGTAGGCTGTGAAGCCATGAAATAGCCAGGTTCTGAAAAGAACTTCGCCCGGTGACATTTGGAAAGCAAGGTAAAAGACTTTCCTATGACCCTAAAGTACCTGTTGAAAGCCAACATGGAACAGGCAGCCCAGATGAGTTAAGCAGATGTGACTACACAAGGCAATACCATATGAGGAACAAAGCAGCACTTGCTACTGAAATCCCAGGTGAGGAATGTGAACCCAAGTTGTCTGTAGCCTCTGGTGTCCCAGGTCCATGAAAGCACTGTCACTCAGTGAGGCGAGACACACTCAGTGATCAGAGTGGGATGGTGGATACTGGGATCTCACTGTCATGGTAAACAACCCTGCATTCCCCATCCATACGCAGCACTCATCACCATCTCATTTTGACTGCTAAAGAGACTTCAGGAATACTACCCAGGTTGCACAGAAATGTTAGTGAAAGACGTTCTGTTTACCGTCAGTTCCTATCCAAGGTGGAAGTGCCCTTTTACAGACAGAAAACTGGCACAGAGCTTTCTATCATACTACTGATATACTGATACTACTCTGAATTCTCAGAGGGAATCTGCAAGTGGATTGGGTAGCTGAAACTGGACTTGCAGTGCTCTCAATCAGCTACCAGACCATTCTTCCAACAGGTGTATCCACCAGCACATATTTGTGCCGCTTACTCGGAAAGCCTGGTAGTTCAACCAAATAACAAGCAAGTCAGAGCAGAAAGTGCAGGGTGGTGTGGGTCAAGAAAGCGACTGCATCAGCAGGGCTCCAGCATCCACTCTGCATCCAGCATTGCACCACAGATGATCTGCTCTGCTCAGAGCTTTGCTCAAGCAGGTGCAACTGGAGACTCCTGCCTTCTCATGGGTGCAGTAGTCAAATGTTGTAGCACATAAATGGTGTTTGACATCACTAATCTCCAACCTCATCCTTTGTTGCCAGCTAGTTTTAGCAGATCCAAGTGGAGGTGGCTTACCCAGGTTCCACAGGGATTCAGCTTTCCCAGGGCACTGTAAACAATCAGAAGGGAACAGACATCAACTCAGGAGAAATAGAAAGCAGACTTAAGTGCATGGAAATAATCCCACTTTTGATCTGAAAGTAGAAAAATTAAAAAAAAAAAAACAGCCTAGGATATTTTCTTTGCAGAAACACAGAGTCTACGGCTCCTTTACACTCAGCTCAGTGTACCTCAGATTGTGCACACAGTCACTGCTCCCAGTGACAAGCCTGTACACTGACTCTTAAGAAAACACCCACAATCACTATAAATGATTTGTCAGGAATACTAATTGATATAAACCAGAATGTCTTTGCCTCAGTAGAATCAATAGATTCTGCCAAGTATCTGTCCATACACCAACAAGCTGCTCCTTTGAGTAGTGTTGTCCATCAGCTGATACAGGAACATCTCACTTAAATCCCTTCTCCTTCCTGTACTTTATGCAGCTAAAATTCATGGTCCACAGTAAGATTCACCCATCCATCCATCCATCTGGGAAAATCTCTGCACACAGGTTCAAGTATATAAGTGTTTAACAGGGGAAAGGTCTAGGGGGAGGACAGGACAGGGTACCATAGGCAAGCTCTGTGACAAGATCACGCTACCTTCAACAGAGGTAAAGCTCACTCACAGGTTTACTGGAGGACCTCAGAGGAGAGTACAGAGACTGATCTCGCCACAGCTCTTCAGCTTTTTTGTGATTAAACCAGTTACTTCCGTACAATACTAAAACAGAAGGAAGGAAGGGCCAAGCTAAGCACCTCATACGATGGTGGCATCTCCATCACACCAGCACCAAGTGCTTTGTAATTGGTTACAGAGGAAGGAGTGGAATTCAAAGAGTTTAGAAATCTCGACTGCAATTATCAGGAAGAACAGTGGTAATGCAAGGTACAACCATGGCCCTGATCAATATTCCTAACACAGACATTACACATCTCAGGGCATGTCTGCAGCACTGGAAGCGGTCTTCCAGATGAGCAGTTGTTTTTCTCTTCAACTCAGCCTCACTTTTAACCACTCTTGATTAAAACGATTACTTTCACTCAATATTCAATTTCTGACAGGTAATATTCTCTACATATGTCGCATGCTGGCTCCATCCTTCCAGGCAAAACACAACAGCTCCCTAGAAGCAACCTTTTTTATTTTACGAGTCATGTATAATTTATGCATCCACAATATTGACATAGGCTAGAGATACACATCGTGCCAAAATCATCTCTTATAAGCTTTCAACAGATCTGAGGAGCATTTTCCTTAACCACTTATGAGGCCTTTTGTTCATTTAGTCCTGAAGTTTTCATCAAAGCAAACACTTGCACACGCATAGATGTGCTCCTGCCCTTCCAGTCTTGCAGATTCTGCACAGGGCACATACATAACTCACATATTCAGCTCTCCCAACCAGGTAAATAGTTGTCTGAAAAGCAGAGATGGCTTTGCAAGCAATTGTTACGCCATTGTTTTAAAGGGTGCAAAATATTAAAAGACTAAAATCACCTGAGTGTGTTTTACTGAGTTATTGGCAGAGGAATCACAGGCCAGTTACAGGGACATTCACAGACAGCTGCCAGGAGTAGGGAAGCATTTCCTTCACTGCATTTCCTTTAGGTAGAAGCTAAAAGAGGGAATGAGGATTTTCAGGAGTTTTCATCTGGTATCCAAACAGCACTGAATTAGGTCCCTTTCTTACACTGCTGAGAAAAGTCCACTATCTCATTTCAAGAGTGTATCTAGGAATAGACTCAGGAACATTCCAGCACTGAGTCACCCTCTCTTTTCACCTACCACTGCTGTGACTAGATGCCACACAGGTATGATGTGTTTGCTTCTGGCACACTGAACGAGTAAGGGAGTTTAATCTTCTTTGCCCGAGCGATACTTTTCTTTCCTCTTTTTATTTAAGTAATTTTTTCTTTTTGAAGCCGTTCTCAGGAACAAAATATTTTGTTCAACTCTCAACCTGGCTATTGGATGAATAACCAGAACACCCACTCAAAGCACATAGTCTTTGATCATCCCCCCTACAAGGTATGGAGGTGGCCAGAAGAGTTTGCAATGATGAGCTTCCAGTATGTGCCTTTGGGGGGTGGGAGGTGTGTGTATTCACGTGGCCTGGGATTTGTAAATCAAAGCTTTTTGCAGTAGTAAGTGAACTGACAAAGTATAAATACAGACAAATATAATTATCACAGATTCCAGCTAACAAATCCTCACTGGAGAAAACAGAGTGTGTGTAGGAGAAACTCACTGTAATTGGTGGTTTTGCAGATGACACAGGAGTTGGAAGGAGCTCTTGATCTCTCACAGCAATAACAGCTGGCCCTTCAGTGACACCACTGCAAGACACAAAACAACAGATTCATGAACAGAACAGGCAGGTGGTGATCAGGAGTCACTTCATAAACAAACTGTTCGATTCAAGATTAATGCTCCCTGCTTCACAATCCCCTTCCCCTCCCCTCTGTACTTCCACACACACTCCTCAGTCTCGATGGAGTTTGTTACTAAAATCAAACTCAGGACACCAAATAAATGTTGACTTATTGGAGAAAATCTCTTCTAGCACGTTTCCAATACATAAATAAACAAATAAATATATAAACACACACAACACAAAAAAATTAAAGTGACTTTTTGACATTGAATCCCCTTACAAAATAAAAATGTAAGAGTGAATATGAAATGGCAACAGACGAAGGCATGTTGGGCATGCAGAGCAAAGTCCAAGTAAAGTGTGTGTACAGAACAGCACCCTGTGATTTATGGTCCACCAGCAGCCCAAGAAACAAGCTTTGTGGGTCCTAGGGAATAATGCACAGAAAGCATTATTCAGAAGAGAGCAAGGGCTTATGTTTCCTATGCAGGGAGAAGGTCACAGCAAGAAAGTGTAAAATTAGTAAAAATTTCTAAACATTCAAGTTTCTGAGACTGACAAATGCCAATGAATCAAGCTCAGCTGGTGGAAGCAGGTAATGCAGCAAATAGCCACAAATCCAGCACCTTCTGCTGGTAAAACCAAGTGAAGCTGCACAGGGAGAATTTTACAGCTATATTCAAATGCAGAGCAACATCCAAATGCACGATCAGCCAACGTGTAACTTCTTAGCTCTGCCTACAAAAGTAGCAATAAGGTCTGAGGTGCAAAAAAGAACAATCCCTTTCTTTTCCGTTGCAGCTTTATCATTATAGTGGATAATGAATTACACCACCATTTTGCGGCACAAGATTTCTGTTAATGTACACATTTCCTTAGCATTAAGTTTGGAACTACAGATAGATTTTATAGTAAAGCCCAGTGGAATTAGCCTCACTGTAAATTACTGAGGGTTAAAAAGCTGACCCCTACAAAAGAACTATTACAGCCTTACTGACCACAGGCAAACAAGACAGCACTGTATCTACCCACTTGAAAGACATTTGGTCTGTAGATCAACTCTGCCTGGCTTGCCATAGGGTAACTCCTAGGATTTTTTTGTGCTTATTTGTTTTAATTTTGCTGTTTCAGGTGCTTGATGATATTAATTTCCAGATGGTCTAGAAATCTTAACACACCAGCAAGCAGACTATATCCCTGTTACATGCAGCAGTGCTGTTGTCTGATGTTTTACTGTCACATAAATCAAGCTGGCCCCAAAGAGGAATCAGGAATGCATTCCCAAAGCACTGTTTTATTTTGATTTTTCTAAAACAAAGAACTAAGGAAGTAGGTATCAAGTGTTTCTTTAGAAAAATGAGCTGCCTGATGATTTTTAGATTTGTTTTTTTATCCTAAACTTGACAAATACCATAAGCAACATCACCTTTTAAGGCAAAAGGCAGCTGAAAGCAAAATCCTTCTTTTATGCCAGAGTGACTCATAACAGCAAAGATTCTTCCTAGAAAAACAAACTCAATCATAAACTAAGAACAAGCTAGAAGCCTTAGTGATAACAATTCAAACAAATCCTTTTTTTTTTTTTTTCCCCAGGACTTTTGTGGACTGGTTTGGCTGGTTCAAGCAGGTGCTCTTGGCTATTGCAAAAAAAGAAAAAGAGCTAGACAGATCCCTGGCCTGGCCCAGTCTTATCATTCATTTGCATCCCTAGAAAGTACAGTAAACACAACACAGATGCACAGGAACACATTTCATGCCTTATCTTTTCTACAGGAATGCA